AACAAAGAGTGAAAAATTTAAGGGGGTCTGAATACTTTCCGTACCCACTGTATATAAAGACACACACATACAGTATATATTTTGAAAATATTTACATGTATTTACATGTCTATATTTATATTCATATAATTGATATTATAAATAAATTTAATATATAAAAATAACAAATTTTTCTGAAATATATACATGCATGTGTGTGTATTTATATATACATAATAAATATACACAGTACACACATATATTATGCAAACAAAAACTTTTATTTTGGATGCGATTAATCGTTTGACAGCACTAAATCATTAAGTAATGTGTAAAGTAAAAAAAAACTCAAAGTTTGTTGTTGTTATTGTTATTAATGATGAAATGAGCAATCATTTTATTTATGAAGTGCATAAAATGCTTAATAAATAAGTGTTTTTATAGATATAATAATGAAAGAATGAATGAAAATAATATTTTTAAAATATTTTTACTGTGCTTCTTATTCATTTCATTTAATATTAAGACAAAAAATGCACAAACAAAAATCTTAAATACAGATGTTTAAATTGATATGTGATTAGAAAAAATTATAAATGTTTATATATCTACACCATTTATAAATGTATCACACATGCCACTGAAGATTGAAATGTGACTAAATATATATATATATATATATATATATACATATATTAAAAAAAGCCTGCAAAATGTCATGTAAGTGCAGTAAACTTTTAAACATTGCTATATCGAGTTAAACATGCTTACATAAACTACTCAGGACAATAACATCGTGTTACTGGAATAAAATGGCATGCCCTGGTATTGAGGAATCTTGTTTTTGGAGAATCCGTAATAAGACTTCCGTAATCAAAACATAACGAGATGCCATGGAAACGGCAATACACAAATATACTATTGTAGCCGATCTCGTCCAGGCTGATGATGCCATCACTCTCTCAGCTTGAGTATTAGTTCATGCGAGTCCACATGAGCTGATAGACACGTCTTGTTATGAGCTGGAAAAGGCAGGAGATGAGTGCGGTCGTGTGCTCAGGATCTGTGTGGTTCAGATGATGTGTTTATTATGTAACGCTGCTCTTCCTGGAATCACTGCTCAAGTTCAAATGATGTCAGAGCTTCGGATGTTAAAATCCACCTTCAGGATTCTGCGTGTGTTCACTCAGGTTTTGTCAATGGGTCAGCAGGAGAAATGCTTCTGTGTATTTATACTTTACAATATAGATATATAGAGTGGGGTCCAAAAGTCTAATGCCACTAGTCACAATGCTTCTATTTTTCTCATCTATATTTCATTACAAATCATATGATCAGTTTCAGTGAAAATTTTTGCAATTAACATGATTTTCAGGATTTCTTAGTGTTTGTTTTGTTTTTAATATATGAATATAATAAAACGTGTATTAATATAATTAATACAATTCATATATAAATAAATTAATAAATGAACATACAAATATACATAATTGTATGTTAGTGTGTTAGAAGTACAGATAATCAGTTTTGGCCTTGAAAAGCAAAACCACAATATTGTCTGTCTCAGATAATGAATATAAATCATGACAGCTCACTGTTTATGTCTTTGTTTAGGTATTGCTGTGTAAAGATGGTGAAAAGCAGTGCAGTGGTGACAAAGAGAAATTCACTTCTTCTCCACAGGTAACTTTATGATTTACCAGCTTAACCTTAATGACAATATTCTGGAAAAAAAAAAGATAGTTTTCATCATTCAGATTCAGATTTGAGATGGTCTTTGATTTTACATTTATGTGTTTAGCGGACACTTTTATCAAGAGCAGTTGAAAAACAAGCAAGCTGTTTTTAGCTGCTTTTTTCATATTTATTTTCATCATACATTTTTTTTTTTTTAAAAGTCTTCATTAAAGCATCAACCAAACTAACCAGCTCTGAGATTAATCACATCAAACATTTGAAGCAAGAAATTTGTGAAATTTAAATTCTTTTATAAGTACACAGATGGTTGTGGTAGAGGTGGTGTTAATGATGTAATTATTATAAAACTTTTTTTTTTTATACTATTATATTATAAAAAAAACTATTTTTTATCATATTTTTTATTATAAAACAGTATAACAATAATCTTTTGGAAAATACTCTAATATATACAAAAATTTAATGCATTTCATGATTAATTCCGAATACACAATTCACACCAGTGTTTTTTGTTTGTTTGTTTTTTAGTATCATTTAGAATTTATTATAGTTTTTAAAAATTTTGAATTCGTTTTATTTTTGTGTTTTCCATATTCATTTTAATAAAAATTTGAGTAATTTTTGTTGTGTTTTTTTGTTATTTTTATTTTTGTAGTTGTTTTTTAATTTATATATATATATAGTTCAGTCATAAAACTCTAGATGGCGCAGGCGACGGGTTGTTAACGTAACCGATGATATTCAGAGAGTTAAACGACTTGGCACAAGCTGATTGGTTCATGCTGCATATGCAGCCAATGAGCTTACTGCCTTGCATTTATATGGCTGGATAGCATTCACTTGAGATTCCTGCAGCGCGCTTTCAGAGTTGAAAAAGCAGCGGTGAAACTTTTACAGCCGTTTTGGGGTAATGTGAGTCGAGGCCCTAAAAAAGCGGACCGGCCGTTTGATGAGACGGCGGCTGCGGTCAGGGCCACCTGCTCTGCGCACAGCGCTGTTGTTTGCGAGGCACGATGCCTGCGAAATAAATGTTTACTCGCAACATTAAGGGAAATCAGCACTCAAAACAAACCGGTCGCAGCCTGAGCGCCTGCAGGCCAAGGCTTGAGTCATCTGCGATCGGGCGCCGCACGAGTGTGACCAGGCCGAGCGAATCGGGAATCGTGTGGAAAACATGAGCTCATACAGGATGGGATGACACTCGGAATCACTGGACACAGACGGGACACGCCAATCCACACTGAGTGATGGGGTACCTCAGCATATGTGAGGCCTCTTTTAGATTTACACACTGCAAAATCATGTCTTTCTCACTGTTTTTGTCTTGATTTGCAGTAAAAGTATCTTCAATGCCCATAAAATGAAGCAAAATTGCTTGTGATGTTCAGTTTCTTGTGTTTAATTAAGTGTATTTTTCTTCAAACATTGACAAATTGGGTTGTCTTATAAATGTGGAGTATATAAGCCATTTTTTGGTTTGCTTAAAACAAGAAAAATCAATATGGAAAAACATGTTCAATGTCACCAATTTTCAAAACATTAATGAAAAAATATTGAATACATGGTTTGAATTAACAGCTTTATAACTTGAATAACTTTATTTTATATATTATAATTTATACTTACAAAAATAATATATAGAAAAATATATATTAATATACCTTTTATTTTTTAAATATTTATATTTATTTATAATTATTATTATATAGTTATAAGAATACATTTATTTACAAAAAATTATATAGAAAATACAATATTCTATAATAAATAAATATAACAAATACAATATAATGTACTTGTATGCTATGCTATTTTGTATCACTGAGATAATGTAGTTTTAAATTTTTGTATTTTCATTTTTCGTTTTAATTTCTATATTTTTTGTGTTTATATGTTTATAAGTATTCTTCATTTTTACTTCCACTGTAGTAGCTAAGTTATTTTAGTACATAAAGATACTTACTGAAAATGAGAAATAGTTTTTATATTTTATTTTATTTGAGTTGACGTTTATTTTATTTCAAGTACCATTTTTATGATTTATTTTATTTTATTTTTTGTGGTTTTAGTTAACTATAATAACCATTACATATATTTAATAATTATTAAGCTATACTAAGAATAAACAAATGGATGCATTGCCATCTCAAGTAAATGTATCTTTCTTAAAGGATGTTTAATAATGGAAAACAACATGTGATCTCATCTTTTATTTATTATTGTGATGATGATGATGATGTTGATGTAATGGGCCGCCCTTTCCCACCATCGGCACAGATGTTTCCAGACTTTATTGAGTTTTGTCAAATTTTTTGAGCACTTTAAATGTGTCCTCAGCACCATTATCGTCACCGGTTGTGCTGACTGTGGCTTTTGGTTATATAAGACTGTCTGGCACGAGTTTGCAATGGCTTTCTGTGTTGTAAACGGTGTCGTTATCTGTTAAATGGACCATTTACACACCGCCACTAGCATCGCTGTTACTGTACATATTCCGGCTACTCACACAAACATGCCGGTCCATAACGTTAGTTATGCAATTATGCACTTCCGCAAAAACTCCTGTTATAATCCATAAACTGCTAAATGAAACCCTTACCTACATCTTTTCGGCTCTTTGTTGTTTAAGATAAGAGAACTCGTGAGTGTGCACGCTACAGAACTCCAGTGTTTTTAGCACCGACTAATCTAATCGCATCTGATTGCCCATTCATAAGCGCAACAGAAACGTGTGATTGGTTATTATGATGCTCAGCGTTGCAAAAAAAAAAAAAAAAGTGCGCAAACAGCAACCCGATGCAATCTAAAGCCATGAATTGACACTTTAAATTCATTTTCACCTTTCCCTTTAATCGTGACAACAGGAATAGATTCAGTTAAATTGTGCAGCAGCATTTTTTGCCCCATCACCTTGAATTTGTGGGGCATTTTTGTTCATTTTGATGGCATTTTTGTGCCACAAGCCAGCGTTAGTTTCTGAGCCTGCTTGCAGACTTATGATATTATGATTTGAACAGATTGTAGACACTTTAAACAAGTAGTACTTTAGTTTACCAATGTGTTTTCTGATTCCTTTCTTATTCTATGTGTTGTTGTGGTTGATTCGTCGCATATTTGTGAGCCTGGAGCACAAAAGCAGTCTTAAGTCGCTGGGGTATATTGCGCAAACAGCAACCCGATGCAATCTAAAGCCATGAATTGACACTTTAAATTCATTTTCACCTTTCACTTTAATCGTGACAACAGGAATAGATTCAGTTAAATTGTGCAGCAGCATTTTTTGCCCCATTACCTTGAATTTGTGGGGCATTTTTGTTCATTTTGATGGCATTTTTGTGCCACAAGCCAGCATTAGTTTCTGAGCCTGCTTGCAGACTTATGATATTATGATTTGAACAGATTGTAGACACTTTAAACAAGTAGTACTTTAGTTTACCAATGTGTTTTCTGATTCCTTTCTTATTCAATGTGTTGTTGTGGTTGATTCGTCGCATATTTGTGAGCCTGGAGCATTGTCCAATCATAACAAACCATACATCAATGGAAAGCTTATGTATAAATGTATAAATTTCAAAAAATTGACCCTTATGACTGGTTTTGTGGTCCAGGGTCACATTTAAGCATGAATGGTGCCGATGAGCTGCTCTTCCTCACTCGTAGTCATCGATGACGTAATCACTGTGGGAATTTACTTTGTGGTTTTGTGGTCCCGTGTTCCAGTGATCTGAAATGACCTTGTTTCTTGCCCGGACTTGTTTTGCAGCTCTTCCATTCTGTAAGCGTCTTACTCTCAATATAAACTGACGTCACACAAGCTTTTCAGCCCACCAGCACAGTGTTAAGATGTTTTAGCTTGTATATATTTCCAGTTTTCCCCATGAATAAGTGATAATTTCATTTTTTTTTTTTCACACAGACCCAGATACGCAAAACCCAAGCAAGAAAGGATGTGGTGGACAGTCTGTCCTGCGAGCATAAGGACGTGTGCTTGGTTTCAAAAGTCTCATCGGTGCAAAATGAGCACAGTTTTACCCATCAAAACGCCATCTTCAATAAAGAGATCACTCAGGTATGATCTCTGTACTCTGTCAGTGAAAATCAAGAGAGATTGCTTTAAAAGAATAGTTCACTGAACTGAATAAAAAATGAAACCATTCAGCAGCACCATTTTATATGTTATTCATTTGGATTTTATGCATTTGGCAGATGATTTTATTGCATTCAAGTCATGCAAGGCATTTGCTTAAAACAAGAAAAAAACAATATGCCAACATGCTCAGTGTCACAAATTTCACTTTTTGGATTTGAGACATTAATAAATAAATAAATGTATTTAAATTTAAAATTATAAAAAAAAATTATATATTTATATTTATTGTTAATTTGCTTATGCATTTTGCAGATTATTTTATTTAAAAAATTTTGAATTTTTTTAAAATTAAATATTGTGTTTCTGGATAAAGGAAATAATTTTTTCGTAAGTCCATTAAGATATATATATTTTTTTTACATTGTAATGGTTTATTTTAACAATAACCAATATTGCAAAAATATTTTAAATCAGCTTGAATTGGTAATTAAGTAGTGCAAATTATACTAACGTGATATTAAATTGAATTTAAATAGAATTTTTAATAATATAAAAAAATGTACACTGGAATAAAATATATTTTAAATACAATTTAAATAACATATCATTACTTTCTGTAACATTTTACAAAAATGAATATTGAAGGCAAAATGGTGTGAAAATGTATTTTTGCATAAAGAAATGAAGACTTTTTTTTAAAGCCCATTAAGAGATTTTTTTTACATTAACAATTTATTTTAACAATACAAAATACTGAAATAATTATTTTAAATAAACATAAATTAGTAATTAAGTAGTGCAAATTATACTAACAATTTAAATATAATTTTAATAATATAAATACATTATATATATATTTATAAATCATCATTGGAGGGAAAATTATGTGAAAATGCAAAGACAAAAAGCTTGCTTCATTTTCTTTATGCAAAATTTCTATTTTTAATTCTTCTTGATTTTGGGCGAAATCAATCCTGGAAATGTTCGTTCAATCATCATTCATTTTGCTTCAACTTCACAGCTGAAATTCAGTCTTTGTTTTAATATTTGGAAACAACATTGCCTTTGTGGACCTTTGTGGATAGGTGGACCTGTTGGTCACTTTAGATTTTTTCCAGCTAAACTGAATCGGTTGAGTGGTTGCATTGCATCACTAATGTGGAAAATTACACTTGCAGTTTACAGACAAAAAAGCAGTGTAGATAAAGGTGGAAACTGGCCCTTCTGACCCCGTTCAAGCCCCTCTGTTTCTTTTCTTTCGCTCTTTTTGTCTGAAGTTGGAGAGCGGGCAGCACAGGGGAGTGGGAGGAAAGGGAACAGCCACAAGAGAAGCAATTATTTTGGGATGAGATCATTGTTTGGCCCGGTCTATTCACGCCTCTGGCCTTCTGAGACTAAACCGATTCGCTCGAGTGCTCGCGTTATCTCATCGCCACACTCACTCTGACATACAAGGACATTTTTCGGGGATATTTGCTTCGGGACGCAGCTGCTGCTCTCAGAAGCCCGTGTGACCCGTGAGATTTACTGAGCTGAAGTGAAGTGGGAGGCGCAGTGTTTTAGATGACAGACGAGCGTCAGGAACAGTAACACGTCGTTAATGTTAATAGGCTGTAGAAACGCTGCCATTCGTTTAGGAAATGGCCTTTGGATGAATATTCGTGTTGGGCAAAGCCTCTAACTCTTATGGGCGATTCGGTTGACTGATAGCACTGATGAATCTGTGTTAGTGTAGCATTATAGAGTCAAGGATGTGGAAATTGGCCTGCGTTTCAGAAAGGTGAATTAAAGTCAACACATCCTCCAGCGCTCTTTAGGATTGCCCCAGAAAACCCTTTCGGGATTCATATAAAAATGGGTTAATTCTATAATTTTGATAATTAAAAGAAATTAGATGTTTTGTGTTTTTTTTAAGAAAATGTGAGCGTTTGCCTGTTCAAAAGATTTTTTAGTTTTTTTTATTAATACATTTATTCAGCAAGGCTGCATTAAATTGATCAAAAGTACAGTAAATTGACTGTAAAGACATTTATAATGTTGCAAAAGATTTCTATTTCAAATAAATCCTGTTCTTTTGAACTTTCTATACATCAAAAAATCATGAAAAAATAATAATCAGAAATGTTTCTTGAGCTGCAAATCCACATGATTTCTGAAGGATCATGTGACTCTGAAGACTGGAGTAATGATGCTGAAAATTCAGCTTTGCATCACAGGAATAAATTACATTTTAAAATATATTCAAATAGAAAACAGTTATTTTAAATGGTAATAATATTTTACATTTTTACTGATTTTACTGCATTTTTGATTAAATAAATACAGACTTGGTGAGCAGAAGAGACTTCTTTCAAAAACATTTAAAAAAAATCTTACTGACCCCAAACCTTTGAATGCTGGTGTAAGTCTGTGGGATTTTTTTCACCTGTTTTCAGGTGAAATCGTGTTTCTGATTAGTAATCAAACCGTACATGTCTCATCAACAAGACACGTACTAACCTCAGGTATGAGGAAGAGTTTTCACTTTAGATGGAACATTTAAACAATTAAATAGCCTGTTAGATATCAGTTTCACAGTACAGTTTCTGCTAATTTACTCAAAGAAGGAAGCTGGAAAACTAGCTATTGTTTTAAAGGGAAGCGGAAGAAACAAAGTATGAAGTCATGGGTTTCTCGTCACGGTTGGGTAGAAATGAGACGATAGAGTTTACACAGGCTGCAAATATTGAAATACCTTTGAGCCTGTGGGAAGCCATTAAAAACAATTTGCTGATCTTTTATTAGAAGTGACATCATATTATTTTTTTATCTGCACTGTGAGATCTTGCCAAACATCGTGGCAGGTTTGTTTTTCTTGTCCACTTGTGATGTGTATCTCCTGTGTGTTTTTGATGAGAGAAAGATCTGGATTTATACTGAAACTCTGAGACCATGATGAAAATGATATGCTCAATAAGTCATGGTAGAATATGTATTTTCATGACTTTACCAATTTCAACTTAATTTTTTTTACGTTTTACTCGGGTTATAAAAACTAAAACTGAACTAAAACTAAACAAAAAAAATTGGATACTTGAAATAAACATTAACTGAAATAAAATAAACAAACTTAGACTTTTTTTAATTTCATCAAATTATATAGATGTATACAAATTAATTGTATATATCTATATCTATATATCTATATACAGTGTATATATATGTATATTTAAAAAAAGAGAAAAACTATTAAAAAGACGAACACAACAAAATAACCAACTTCAACTACAATTAAAACTAAAAAGATAAAAATAAAAACTGATTCGAAATATTTTACATTAGTTTAACTTGATGTACAAATATAGCTAAAATGTAAGTAAAAATTAATATAAAACTATATTGACATTTAAAAATGGAAAATATTATAAATGACAGAAAACGCAAAATTACTAAAACTAACTACAAATGGAAATTCAAATGCAAAATAGTAAAACTAAAATATAAAAATAAAAACTGATTAGAAATATTTTTTAGTTTTAACTTGAGACACTAAAATAACTAAAATCGTAGTAAAAATTGAATAAAAAGTATATAAAAATAAAAAAAACTATTAAAAATGACAAAAACACAACAAAATCACTTAAACTGGAACTAAAATTAAAATTAAAAATTGTCTAAAATATTATATACAATATTAAAATATAAAAATAGGAACTGATTCATAATATAAATAAAAACTATAATGGTATCTCTGATACAAAAATAACACCGCATTATACAAGATTCAACCAGATGAGATTTTAAAACATTAGTTGAAATGACTTGTACAGCCAATCTGATAATACTTAAAGATGTTTTTAAGTTGAAGGAGGTTGAAATATTTTACAGTGCACATGATTTTTTTTATATAGTCTTAAAAAGGTAGGGAAAAAAATGTCAAGCAAAAATAATAACAGACGTCTCCTCAGCAATCAGTCATGTCTGTCTGGGACAAATTATGAGGCGAGGTTTAATATTTTAATATGCCCAATAGCAATAGTGATGGTTTCTGTAGCCAGCAGCACTAATAATTATCCTAAGCTGTGACTGTCTCCTTACATTTAGCCCGATATGTTGGTTTTATTGTCTTTGGAGATCACATGCGTTTAGTCTTGCAGAAATGACAACTTCGTTTAACAATCGTTTGGTTTGTGCTGATGTGGGTGGGCTTTTTGAAGACCGCCAGTGGTCATACATCGTGTTCATACCAAATAAACATGTCCGGGACCTATCTGGACTCGGCCAGCTGGTTTCTGTTCACGCAGTGCAAACATGGCCAGAAATGGTGCGTTCAAAAGCCTTACGCAACAATCTGTGAGCTCCAGCCAAAAGAAACCTTCACTGCTCATAGCGTGATATCTGAGAAACGGTGAGCAATCTCCCGATGATGTTTCTGAAGTGTTTCTGTAAGTCGAGACATAAGTAATCGCTATTTTCTTCAAAAACAAAAGTCACAGAGGAACTTCACTTTCCTCGGCGTGAAATAATAGACAGCGACTGTAACTTCGCACATGTGCTGCTTTAAAATCTATTTGCTTAATATTGTGTTTCCAGAGCGCACTCAGAAAGCTAAGCGAGCGTAAAATGGGCCTTAAGTGTCTCAACATGTGTTCATGTTTCAAGCATTAACAATAAAATCCAAAGAAAAAACAAAAAAAGGATCCTCTGTGATGTGATCCAGCCTGAATAGTTCAGAAATTGGTCATTTTGTAGAATTGCCATTTGTTTTGAGCTGGTTTCTTTAGTAATATTTATTGGAGGTAGGAATAGTCTCTTCCACTAGCTTCAAATCTTTATCCTGAAAGAAGTAAATATTTTATTATATTTTATTTATTGCATTTATTATGTAGTGTTTATTGCATTTATTGATATTCACGATTTTAGTTAGTTAGATATATGATATGATATGTGACCCTGGAGTCTTAAGTCGCTGGGGTATATTTGTAGCAATAGCCAAAAATACATTGTATGGGTCAAAATTATAGATTTTTCTTTTATGCCCAAAATCATTAGGATATTAAGTAAAGATCATGTTCCATGAAGATATTTTGTAAATTTCCTACTGTAAATATATGAAAACTTAGTTTTTGTTGAGTAATATGCATTGCTAAGAACTTCATTTGGACAACTTTAAAGGTGATTTTCTCAATATTTAGATTTTTTTGCACCCTCAGATTCCAGATTTTCAAATAGTTGCATCTCGGCCAAATATTGTCCTATCCTAACAAACCATACATCAATGGAAAGCTTATTTATTCAGCTTTCAGATGAAATCTCAATTTCTAAAAATTGACCCTTATGACTGGTTTTGTGGTCCAGGGTGACATATAATATGATATAAGATATGATATTGTATTATATTATATTATATTATTTATTTGTCTAGTAATAATAATTTTGTCTCGTTTTACATCACAAATATCTAAAAAATCTTAAACCAAGATACATTTACTTCAGAAGTATAATGACAAAAGATGTTAAGCTTTGCTTTCTGAAAAATTAAGTGGGAATTAAATTAGGTTTTTTTCTTACATTCAGAATATACATCTGTCAGTGGGGCAAGAAAAATTATCTTGTTTTAAATTTGGATTAAGATTATGTTTCTTACCCCTTTGGCGGATATGTTTTCTTGTTTTAAGCATAAACTAACAAAATAACAAAAACAAGACTTCATATCTTATTAATATTCATCATTTTTCTTCATTATTCATCATATTTTGTTTCTCAAGTAAATGTGTCTTGATTCAAGGAGGTTTAGATAGCTGTGTATTATATTTTATTATATTATCAGATTAGCTTTTAAAAATGACTAAAATATAAAAAATAAAAATATATATGCACTAGAATTTTTTGTTTATTTTTGATGGATCTTTTGTTCACCAAGACTGCATTTATTTGATCAAAAATACAGTAAAAACAGTAATATTGTGAAATATTATTACAATTTAATGCAATTTTTTATATATTTTAAGGTGTAATTTATTCCTGTGATGCAAAGCTGAATTTTCAGCATCATTACTCCAGTCTTCAGTGTCAGAAATATAATGATTTACAGATGCTAATCCTTCAGAAATCATTCTAATATGCTGATTTGCTGCTCAAGAAACATTTCTTATGATTATCATTAATGTTGAAAACAGTTTTGCTACTTAATATTTTTTGTGATGCATTTTTGTTGACACTGAGTTTTTTTTTTTCCATTACAAATATTTATAACTTCTAAATCAAGATACATTTGCTTGATAATTAATAACTTTTTGATTCATTTTCATAAATTTTCAGACATACTATTTAAGTTAATTTGCTTCTCAAGTACATTGATCTTGGTTTAAGGATGTTTACATGTTTGTAATTGAAAACGAGACAAAAGTACTAAATAAGAAGCAGGATTCTTTGTTGAATAGAATGTTCAAAAGAACAGCATTGAAATAGATCTCTTTTGTAACATTATGAATGTCTTTCCTGTCACTTTTGTGTTCTAAATCAGCCGCTTACAAGGTTCCACTTCAGTTAGTAGGAAGGAAAGGATCTTGACTTTGAAGTAAGCATTATATGTTCGTGTCCCGCAGGCAGAGACATGGATCCGAGTGAAGCTGCGAGACCTGAGGAACGCCAGTAACATCCATAGATGTCCTCTGACCGACTGGGAGGAACTTTGTCAAACCCTCCAGAGAGATCTGAAGGACTTTGAGAACACCGTCATACAACTCAACCAGGTTAGCACAAACCATCTTCATTAGGAGAGTAAAAGATTGATGAATCATCATCAGGTTTCAACAGGTCCCTCGGCCAAAATCAACAAAAGAAGTTCTCCCTTTTGCAAATAAACGGCAAAACATTTACAAATTGTTATGGTAACAATCATAACTTCTTTTTAATGTCGATTTGTCAAAACACGATTTTAACAGCTCAGCTTTGACGAGACCTGCAGAGCCTCGGAAAGCTTTTTGTGAGACGTCCAAAATCACACAAAATATCAAGTCACCCCATGTTTTTTTTCCAGCACAGATGCTAAATTTGTCCTTTTCCCTTCATGTTGAAATAGTACATTGCAAATAATTAACCTCTCCTGACACACATCCCCGGTGGGTTGCAAAACCGGATCTACTGTTAGTCATAAGAACGAGGACTTGGGTGGATTTCAAGCACGCTGATATGATTAAGCTGTTGTTTTAGTGGGCCGTAGGTCTTTTGTTGCTCATGTAACGCTGCTGAATGTTTGTGCAGATGGGAGAGCAATTAATGTGCAAGCTTAACCCGACGTCTGACCTGTTGAAGAAACAGCTGGCTCAGATCCGCGACCAATGGAACGCACTCAAACAGACGGCAGCCAATCAAATCAAGGCGATGGGCGGGGCTAAGACTCTCCAGGAGTTTAATAAGAAGGTGGACCGTCTGGAGGCGTGGATCAAAGAGAAGGTTAAGCACACCACTAAACCTAGTTATACTAATTAACAGAGCCTTTTGATGGGGTTGTTTTTGGATTTTGTCCTAAATTGATCATGTTAATGGATCTTAGTGGGTTATATGGAGATATGTTGGTGATTCTGTGTTAGGATGAACCTCACAAGTCATGGTCACTTTTCAATCCACAGTGAAAAGACATAAACAAGAATTTATATTTTAAAGAAAATTTTAAGAAAATTAAGCCTAGTTTTAGGCCCATTACACTTTTTTGTATTATTATTATTATTATTATTTGCATTGTGACATTTTCATGACACAAACACATTTTCCATAAAATTCTTATTCTACGTTCTTTAATGCATCCAGGTGCTTTACTTTTGAGCTTCTTTGTAATTCCTTTAATTTTTAAAAATAATTCTGTAATATAAAAAATACTGTAATATAATTTGTTACAATTCTTCAATTTATATATTATATACATGTGTATTATAATTTTTTTTTATAAAATATGCAAAATAAATGACATTACAATGAAATTTTATGATTTTTATTTTAGTATTTATGTTTTGAAACATACTTTATTTATTAAATGTGTGGTTTGCAACACAACATGAAATATTTAAATATATTGAAATATTTGTTTTCTTGTGTGATTTTGGTCATATTATTCTTTCTTTCTGTTTTTGCTTCCCTCATTAATCTTCGGTCTGCTTTGCATCTGCGTCCAAGAAGCCGAGGTGTTACTTTTCGAGTCTGTTTTACGTCTCACCATGGTAGCCAGGATTATTTAGAACAACAGTAGCTGTATTCAAAGAAAACAATCGCTGGGCTACAACAATTCAGGGCTGTAAAGCTTTTATACGTGTCAGCAGGAGCAGGAACAATCGCTGGCCAACATCCTTGGGGAAAACACTGACAAGATGCAGCTTACCAGGAAGATACTGGATTTGAAACAGGTGGGTGATTCTAGACAACAGACACAGAAAAATTGCTGCTAAATTCTCAGCAGGCCTCAATTATCACTACTGGAAAACAATTGGATTTTTTTGAGAGAATCTGTTTTATCGTCCAGTTTAGTACCATTGTTTACCTGTGCTGTATGTGAGCAAGTGCTTCTGATTTAAAATGCAGTCTGAGAGGCCGAGACCTTCCGCTTACGCACATACAGGCCGTCATTCATTGTACTTACTCACAGATGTCACTGATTCACTAGCATCCCTAAAGCCAATTGAAACAGCCAGTTGTACTTCCAGGGTTGGGGAAATTAGCCAAAAATGCGGTCCAAGCACCTGGTTAAAATGTGCTTTGGTTAAATGTAAGATCATTAGAGCTCAGGCAATCTTGTATGTCTGACTTTCATCTTTCAGGATGAGCAGCTATATCATAATCTTCATGAGGAGATCAATCATATGGCCCTCAGACTGGAAAAACAGGGGAAGACTGAAGGAAAGACCATCTCAACCCGCAGGAAACACATCAACAAAATGTTAGTGCACGTACTGATAATAATAATAATAGACGAAAAAGTCTTATTTATTTATATATTTTTTGTTTGAGTATATATAAATTATATATATATATATATTTACTATAAAATGTAATAAATTATACACAAATGTGTATACATAATATTTTATAATAATATACATGTATACACAATTACCATTTATTACTATAAAATATAATGTATACGCAGATACATGTGCATATAAATTATTATATATTTTATAATTATATATTATAATAATTCTAATGATTGTAATATATATTATACTGACTATAATTTAAACAAACATATATAAATATATTGTGTAAAAAATATATACATAAAAAAATAATACATAAATGCACAATTATCATTTACTATAATTATTCATATAATAATAATAATAACAATAATTATTATTATTAGCAATTTAATAATCATTTGAATATTTATATGTATTTATTAAATAGTTATTTATGTAATCTGTATACACACAGAGAAAGTTGTAACAGTTCAACCCAAATATTCAGATGTGTCCAGCGCATTTTATG